GTTGAAGTCCCTATCTCGAAGAAGCGTGCTTGAGATAGTGACTTCTGGGGCTATGTTCGATCATATGCACGCTCTGCTCGTACGAAAATCTCGAAGAAGCGTGCTTGAGATAGTGACTTCTGGGGCTATGTTCGATCATATGCACGCTCTGCTCGTGCGAAAATGTTACCGTTCCTGGACGTGATCTCTGCCTATCTCTGCTTCTGTAGCCAAATATCACTTCTATTCTAAAGCTATGTATTCCAGTCCCGTTCGGCCATGTTTACGACGTTCAAGTACCTATCTCGCAGACACGTCCGTTAGATAGTGACTTCTAGAGCTATGTACCGCTCAATGTACCGCTCAGATGATGCAGATGATGCAAAGCAGAAACTTGCATTTCTTGCATCACAAGACGCTTCAAGTTAGCGCGAACTTATCTTCCAGCACTTTAAGCCGGTTCCAAAAACGTCAAAAAACACAGGAGTATAGAGCGAAAATGCCCCCCCCCCTAGCTAAAGCTATAGCGTACTACTTGCGGTACTTGCGGTATAACGCGAGCCTCATAAAACGCCTCGGCGCCTTCGGCGCGGGCAGATTTGTTAGATTCTGTTAGATGAAATGTTGCGGGTTGTCTGTGAAATGACACCACAGCTGCTCGAAGCTTCTCACGGAATTAGACGCCCAGCACCCATGTTGCGTATACCTTGTCACACTCAATAACAAAACTTCAGTGCAAACCCTGCCAGCATGTTGTTTTTAGAACACCATCCTCTTTTCGCAACATGGTCAGTGTGAAACAGCAGCCACACAACCGCACCTCCGTCTGCGACTTTTCCTCCACCCACTGTTCTCTTCCGTTCCTACACCACACCCCCTTGAGGAACCTGTCCTCCCCACCACCTTTGCGCATTCTGGCTCCACAACTTCGCTCACCTCCGTTCATTCCCTACCACACCCCCTTTGCAAACGCTCCCTCCACAACTTCCCACCCACAACTAATCATTGCCCCCCTTGCGGTTAGCAGACTACACGAGGGTTTGAGAAAGAATAGCGATCTCAAACATAGGTTACACAGGGGGTACACATACAGATATAATATATAATATATATATATGGTGCTACTTCATAGTACAAAGACTTTTGCACTCCTAGGTAGAGTAAAGGGTTTAAACTTTGTCACTCCCAGTGGAAAAGGAGTAGAATAGCGGACTTGGGGTACATAGGGCTATGGTACCCACTTGCACTTAGAGCGCATTGAATCTGAAGCCTACTTGGGAGTTTTGAAGATCCAGATGTCTTAAAATCTACTATGTAACACACTTGAGAACTAAGAAAGCGCAACAGTAGATTTCTGAACAATTTATATCGGATACCTGGGGGTTTTGGGATGTGTGTATTGAATCATTGAACACCAGTTGTGAACTATAAACTCAGAATGCGCAGGACAGCTGAGGAGAATCTTCTAATTGGTTCCTGGATGCTACTCGCAACACTTACTTCTTTGCAAGAACTCTTGAAAGAGCTGAACATCAAAAGGTAGCATCCTCTCATGCATTCTTTTTGAGCTTTCATTTTCCAGAAAAGGTTGTGACGGTAGAACTTTGAATCCTTGCACAAAGTATCCGATCACACGTCACACCGTGGAAAACAGTGCTAGTAGTCCTTACAGAAGTGGGCTTGTTTCGAGCAGCAAACTGATTTGGCACGGACACATATGAGTTGCCAAGTGGTTGTAACGGTCTTTTTGTAAACTAAGTGCCTTTCGAAAAAGAGGCGGCTGTCTGAACACATCCGTACCATCAACAACTTTCCAGGACACTTGTTTTTACAAAAGACATCCATTTCTATTATATGCAAGTGTCAATAGGCCTATCCACAAAAGGACTAGCGGACTGAAAGACGGTGCTTTGTTTATATACATATTACGTATGTATAGACTCAGACATAAGGATTGTTTCCTGCATGTGGACATAAGCATGTTCACTTGGGGGCAGGCCACCTTCCAATACTTGAGAGACCCGCCAAAAGGACTGAAACGGCAGGAAGCCGCGGTGGCCCGGGAGATCTATCTGTAGTTCTTCGGTGTAAAAAAATTGTGGTGTCACCCGGGCTGTGTTGAAAAGGATGCATGTATGTGTCAAAAAGGTCGGGTGTGAAAACACGTTTGTATAAAAGCAGAGTTTGTGTGAAAAGCTTTTGCCGTGCTTGAGCAACAGTGTGGGAAGATGCAAGGACACGGCGCAGCAAAACACTGTAAAACCCCGCAGGAAGAGGGCAGGAACGGAACAGGAAGAGGACAGGAAGAGCACAGGAAGAGGATGAGGACAGAAAGAGGACAAGGAGGGGAGGGAAGGGGGTAGGCCAGGCAAAACAAAAATCCGGGCGCCGGCCTGCCGAGCCCGTGTCCTTGCCGGAGGCCTTCGGTGGTTGCCGAAGGTAACTAACGGTCGCGCCCCTGCCGCCGAAACACCCCGGACAACTCGGGCAACCGCGGGGGGACTGATCCCCCTGTAATTTACAGGGTATTCTGCGCGCGATGTTCAAAAACGTCGTGCTTTACAGGGTTTCGGGCCCTTCGGCCGCCGCGGATTTCATCTTGGCGATGTCAAAAAGCCTCGGTTTTACGTGGCTTTGGCCTCGGACAGGGGGCCCGGGACGGCAAAACTCGCATCTTAAGAGTATGTCAACATAAGTGCCGCAAGTACTTTCCACATATAGCTCCAACTTAGGCTCAACCTGGCTCGAAGATGGGCCAACATAGGCCCAAGATGGGGCAACGGGCTCGACGTGGGTAAGGCGAACATAGATCCAAGATATGCCCCATAGGCCCCTGATGGCCCAACCTAGGCCCTAGCGGGGTCAACCTGGGCCCAAGGTGGGGCAACATAGGCCTTCGATGGAACAACCCACGGGTCAGCTACGATGCCCGCCTCCTTTCCTTCGTCTCCGACGTGGCTGCGCTTCTCCCATCCACAACGCAGGTGAGCACGCCCTACACACCCAAGCTCCTGCCCCTGCCCGCCCTTCTTCTCTCTGCTTCCTTCTCTCCGGCGTCCTCCTCTCTTGCCGCGGTTCTCCCGACCTTCGGCGCACACTCCTTGTGCACCCAGGTGGTCAGCCCCCTTCTACAGAAGAATCTGCAGAAGGATGCAGTGTGCGCCCCCCCTCCGCCGCAGTACTCCGCCCATCGAGCCCCAACATAGCCCCCACATAGCCCCAAGATAGCCAACATTATAGCACCAAGATAGGCAAAAAAAGAAAGAAAACGCTATATCCCGCCACTGGCGCTTCACATGTTTGGCCGGCTGTCAGGCGTAAGCCTTTAAATCCGTCCAAGGGAGAGATCTAGAGCTCTACCTAACACAAGCAATACAAGTAATTATACCAGTGTTGTTGTGGTGGTAGTGGGCGGCCGCAGCCCCAGCCCCTGCCTCGGAAAGCAGCGTAAAGAGCACGACAGCAGCAAGACCAGAGGAGGACAAAAAGATGAGGGAAGGAACACACCACGCACACACCAAGACGACGAAAGAAAGACAAGCCGTGGTCGGACAACGCCAAAAGGACACCACGACAACACGAGGGGAGCGCCAAGAGGAGAACGAGAGGAGTGCAGAAGGACAACGAGAAGGCAATAAAAGCACTTGAGGAGGACAGGACCGAAAAGATTGCGACGAGAGGCGAAGGAGGACATCCGGACACGGTTCGCCGGCGCGGCCTGACACTGTGGCCAGCTTCTTCTTCCCTACGAAAAACCCCCGCAAGAAAAGGGACAACAGGAGGACAAGGAGAGGACATCAGCTTCCGGGCTGCTTTCTGGATCTATCTTGTTTATGCTTCATTGCTTTGTAGCCAGAGGAGGACAACAGTCACCAGGAATAGGACAAGAGGAGAACACAGGGTTGGCCAGCAGGGTCGGAGGACAACAGCAGGACAACTACAAGGACCAGGAGGACACAGGGTTGGCCAGCACTAACTGGAGGACAAAAGGACAGAGAGTTCAGGGGCGTGGCGAGCCACTGTGGCCGCCGTGGCCAGCTCTTTTTTTCTAAGACGAGAGAACCCGAACAGTTTTGGGGGATCAAAGACAATCCACAAAACACGCTGGCAGACCGGCGGATTCACCACGCAAATAGAATCAACTAGAAAGAAGCTGTCACCCACACAGTATATGCCATGTATGTATGCATGCACATAGACGGTACCCCAATCCACCATCCCAAAAAACGCCAAGAAGACGCCTTCCAAAAAAACTTACAAATCATTGTAGTTCTTCGGTAAGAGACGCAAACATGGTAGATCTTTCAGTGGGTGTGCGTGGGAACTACCATACATATGTTTAGGTTATATATATATATACACGCGTGCGGGTACAACGTGGCGTGGAAATCCTTCCTTATACGTTATCACTGTGTCCGGGAACGGGGGAAAATGCGTACTCGTAATTCTTAAGTAATGCTCTTTGCAGAATCTGCAGATTACCGCCCTACTTTTTTGCGTTCTTTCTTGTTTGTATATTCCGTATCCCTTCCCAGTATATACGGATTGCATAGTGTTTGTATCCATCTCTGATACAAAATATACCCGGCATTGAAGTCTCCACCTCCCCTTACATTCAACTGGTACCTTTGAAAGGTTACTATTATGGAAAGATTCGATTTCCGTGGTATGGTTGCTATGCAGGGCATATAGGCATATCAGGGTGACATCAAACCTGGAGGGAACGAATGTCAAATTCATAGGTCTACCATTTGTTTTTCAACGACCTTGATTGAATTTGCTGAAACTACGCGCAACAACTTCTGTGTTGATGGCCAGGTATTGAACATTGTTTTCCTTGAACAAAACCCTTCCGCTTCCAACTCACTCTCTCCTCCAACATGGCCTTGAACGTTGCAGCTTCGCGCAAGTTGGAACCGACTTTGGAATCTCATTTATTTGGAACTGTATTATGTCCTTTGCTTTGACTGCGGCTTTAGTATGCTTGTTGCTGATTCCACCTGGAAACAACATAGTACTTTAGATTGCCAAGACGACAAAGCACATTTTTTGTCTTCAGAGGGCAGGTACTTTAGGACTTGCCTCCTTCTCCACTTGTTTTGCATTTCGACAAGTCATTCCTCGATCAGCAGCAGTTTGCGTGTAGAATCATCGCAGGAAGGCGTATGATGAAGTTCTCAGATTTGGGTCCAAAACACGAGAGCTTGCAGTGATGAGTGTTCAAAACTATTGCTCGAAACGAAAGCGTTTGCGAGGCGAGGAACCTATTTTTGGCGAAGCACGTGCTTATGGCGACGTAAATTGGGATGGCCGGATGCGAGGCGGTGAGCTTGCGAGGACCACGCTCCTTTCTTTCTTTTGTATCCTCTCCTCCTATATAAGGAAGTATAGAAATGTTGTTTGAAATTGTTCTGTCTGAACTTCTTGTTCCTCTTTCCTTTTTCTTTTTTGTTAGAAGCTCCCTGTGCTGCAGCGCTGTCTCCCAGGAATGGTTGGGCTGGCACATTTCCTCTAACAAACCAAAGGCAGAAGAACTTCACTCAATTGAGTTGCATTTTTTCAATTTCTGAGATCCTTGCAGGGGCTGACGCCAACACGTTGAAGTGACTGAGATGAGGGCTGTTGCTGCTCATGGACAAGATGCCGAGCAGGGGCTGCCGTTATTAGGTGAGCCACGGCAAGCAAGCAAGAATCAAGATGACATCGCAACAGTACATGCTAGCTACCCTGCAAGACTGCTCTCGGGCGCAGTGGCGCCGTACATTGTTGCCATCTGATTGCTTCATACGTTTCAGTTCTGAATTCCATTCAAGAATCAAAAACTTCAAAAAAGCCGCAATCTAGAATCCAAAAGGGATTCCAGGAAAATCATAGAATATGATATTCCTGCAAAGGCTGAACCTCCAAACTACGAGAAAAATAAACACATACGATGAATCAATCTCATGACAATGAAATAGAACTGATTATTGTGAATAATTTTCAGCATAGACTACAAGTAGTATTGTACAGCATGTATTGCAGTAGCCCTTTGATTGCCAAGAAAAGTTCGCATGGTAGCCGAGCAAGGATAAGGGTAACCCCGTTTGAGCTCCAGAGAAAAGCCCCTAGGTCACTGTGATTGCGGGAGCATTTCGAGCCATAGATTTGGAGCCTGGAGCCCCAAATACCTGGACTGGTGACAAACTGTTGTGAGCTGCGCTCTGTACCCCGTACAGTATGTCAGAAGGACACTTTTGCGCGGCGACGATGGATGAGATAAGAAAAACCCTTGAAGTCGTAGCTAGAAGCACGCAAGCAACAGCGTCAGTAGCAGAAGCAGTGAAGAAAGCAGTTGAAAATAAGAGGGCGACCGCTGATTGGTCAAAGTTGATCACAAAACCCAATCTATTTACTATAAGTCACAAGAACAAGAGATCAAAGCGTTCAGGGAGTGGTCATGGGTATTTCAGACGTATCTACGCTCAGTGGATGAGGCGTACATGAAGGACTTGAAAGAGGTTCATGACAAGCCAAACGAGAGCTTTGACATGGGCTTGGCGACTGGAGAAGAGAAAACCAGATGCATCAAGCTCTATGGATTGTTAGCTTCGTTGATGCGGGGCAGGGTGCTACAATTGGTGAAAGCTGTGGAGGGCTCCAGTGGATTTGATGCCTGGAGGAGCTTGAACAAAGCTTTGAAACCTACTTCAAAGGCAAGAAGGTTAGCAGTCTCGGGGGCAGCCACTACATCATCAGCATTTTCTATGAACAGCGCTCTAAAACCTCCACTTCTTAAGCTTGAAGAGGTATTTGATGAGACGGTCAAATCAGGAACAGCAATTCAAGGAGAGTTGAAATCTGCTATTCTTTTGAGATGTGTAGGTGGACAGCCCAAATCCTACTTGAATTTGACAATGTTCAATACTCAACTTTGTGGGAACAGGTGTTGCAATGAGGTCGTTCTCAGCAAAAAGGCTACTTCAACGGTGGCAAGTAACAGTACAGACTATCAAGGACCCGCCCATGCCTATGGACGTTGATCGAGTTCAAGATGCCAAAGGAAAAGGCGAGAAAGGTAAGAATGATTACCGCAAGGGCAAAGGTAAGGATGCCAAAGGCAAAGGAAAGAAAGGAAAGGGAGAACAGAAAGGAAAGGAAGGTGATCACAAGGGCAAAGGTAAGGACAAAGACCAAAAAGGAAAAGGTTTGGCGACATGATACACTTGTGGGAAGCCAGGACATCTTGCTCGAGACTGTTGGAGAAACAATGTTCGACAGGTTGCAAGTGATACAGCCCATTCATCTTCAGGAGGAGCTTCAGTGACTACTCATACAGTTGGTCAACAACAAGCCAATGTGAGTCAGCAGCGTAGCTCAGCAGAGACAAAGATTGAGAACTGTGAGCCAATCATCTTTGACCTGCGAGAAAAGCATTATGAAGCAGAAGGTCATGGAATTAGAGTGGTTCACTTCTACATTGGAGATGATGATGAGCTATGTGAAGAAGGAGAAAACCTGATTGAGGAAAACTCCGTGGAGATTGAGTGTGCGTGAGGAGTCCAGGGTTAGGAGGCTTGGAGAGAAGAGATGACGTGGCCATCATTTTTGATAGTGGAGCTGATGTAGCTTTATTCCCTTTGAATATGGCAGATCATGGGGAAGGAGAGCTAGCGCCCAATTCAGCTACCAAACTACAAAATGCGCAGGGGGACTGTATGCCCACGGGGTGCGAAAACTGTCGAAATCTCCCTGCGCGATCTTCAGTTCAAAAGTGAATCAGCCCATACTTTGCCGTGGAAGACCGATGGAGCATGGTTGGGGAATCAACGGTCCAGAGCAGCCATCGGAGGACTGTGACTTGAAGGCGCCGCTCAGCTTGCAAAATCGCTCCTTGACAGCGCAGGGCTGCCTTAGAGTCATTCGAGATGAGGATGAATCTGCCTGGGGGCGCAAGTACCTGAAGCTTCGGAAAAGGCAGCAGGTTGGAGGTTCAACAAGCACCTATTGTTCAAGATTGGTTGACCCCACATTCATTCCAGAAGTTGAAGAATCACCAGAGCTGATGAGAACCACTTTGGTGAAAGGGGAGGTAGATGGCTTGTTCCTGAACTTTGTGAAAGTATGATGAAAAAGGAACAGCTTGGTGAGCACTTCTTTGATGATGATGCAGTCAATCCTTCAATCACAATCTTCAGCTACGAGCCAGCAAAAGATATGGGGTTCTTTGTGCCAGGACAAAAGATGCCTGAGAACCTTAGAGGGAAGAAAGAAAGAAGTGGAGAAGGCGATCGAGAAGATTGCCGAGATGGAGGTCGAAGACTAGAAAGAAGAAGACCCCGAATGTGAGTTGCAACTGAGCCCAATGGATGTAGACAAAGTCTTGGTGAATGGAGTAGGGTTGACCAGGGGTTCTCTTTAGCAACTTTGAGGGCAGCGTGTTCATTTCTCGGCATCTCAGGCAGCGGCTTTAAGTTGAAGGTCTACACAAAGATAATCATAACGAGAGGAAGGAACTTTGGAACGCCAAAAGATTGATGAGTGAAGCAAAAGTTCAAGGGACAAGAGAAGCACTGGGAAAACGTTTAGCTAAGGTGCCAGATGTAGCCACTCAGGCGAGGCACAGATTGACACGTCTACCATATGCAAATTGGTGTAAGGAGTGCATTGAGCATCGAGCGCGTCCAGATCGCCATGAGAGAACAGTCGGAACAAAGAGAGGAAGTATACCTGAAGTGAGCTTCGACTTTTGCTACACTAGAGCAAGAGATTCAGAAACAAAGTCAGCAAGAGCAGTATGTTGGCTAGTTGCAATCGACGGCCGAACTGGATACATTCAAGTTGAGCCGTTAGGAAGCAAGAATCATTTTCGTCTCATGGCGCAAGAGTTGATGAATTTCAATGAATTTCAGTCAGACGTTGGGGTATTCAGCAATCACCTACAGGAGTGACAATGAACCCACACCAAGACAGGTCTTAGGATGCTGATCAATGCTCGTCGCAGCCTAGGGGACTTACTACAAGATTGAACACTTCAAAACTGGGAGATCGTTCATTCCTGTCAGAAAACACAGTTGACAGGGTGAGGAAGCTTGCAGGAAGTTTCATTGAAGGCTTGCAGTCGAAGCTTGGCATTAAGATAGGATTAGATCATGCACTTTGGACTTAGGCAGCAAGACATGCCAGTTGGGTGTTGAATCGATTTCAACCAGTCAAAGGTGCCACTCCATATGGGCTTGTCTTTGGCGAGAGTTACAAAGGACTTCTAGCAGAATATGGAGAACCAGTTCATGGTTGCGTCAGAAGTCTCAACAAAGGAGAAGCTCGATGGCATCTATGCTTATTCTTGGGAAAAGTGGAAAGCCAAGATACCTATGTCTTGACACCTCGTGCGCAGGTAGTGCTACGCAAAAGCATCAGGAGAACAGATCAAGATTGGTTCAAAAACTTGGCGGCCTACAAAAGCTTCAATGCCTATTCATGGGAGTACCAGACAAACTTTGGAGGTAGCAGCGCAGACAGATATTCCTTGAGCGCGTGTGATGTTGAAGTTTAGAGATGAGATGCAGAAGCAGTCACGGCAATAGCTCTTGAAGGGGGAAGTGATTCAGAGAAAGAAGAGGCACTATTCCCAGAGCCAATGCCGGTTCCAGCCCCGCTGGAAATTCCGGGAGAAGCAATGAAAAGAGATGGAAATGAAACTGGAAAGCCAAGTGGGGAAGCAACTCCAAGTAAGAAGCAGAAAGTTCACTTTGCAGACGAGAAGACACTTGAACAGGTGAAAGAGCTCCCATCTACACCATTGCCAGCAGGCCTACACATCTTCATTGAGGTCATCATCAGCGCCTTCGAGACCAAGGGAAGCATTTGACTTGCTTGAAGAAGAAAACCCTATGAAGAAATTCAATCCATCAGCCGATTCAAGCCAAGGTCAACTTGGTAAACGTTGCAGGAGAAGACCTCTATCATGTAGATGAAGAGCCATCCCCAGTTGCAGAAGAAGTTGATGAAGAGGACTGGGAAGAAGAAGAAGGAGAAGAAGAACATGAACCAGAAGACGATCCAGAAGAGTGGATAGATCGAGTAGCTGATGAAGTTGAGAGAAAAGACTCCAGAAGATGCAAGCGCTAGAGAGACCAGAAGGTAGCGCAGGAGGTATCAGTTATCTGACCACGCGCAATGTGTATGAATGGAGAAAGAAGCCTTTTCATCAGGGAGATGGAACAACTTCCGAGAGATGGAAGAGAAGATCAAGACTAGTTGCAAGAGAGTTTGTTTCGCTGAAGGAAAGAGAGATGACATTTCTCACCAGTGGCTTCAGGTCGGTGAGGAGGAAGAAGCAAGAGAGGGAGAAGGAGCATTTTCTCAAGCGCTAGGTTGTCTAGATGTAAAAGATGCTTTCTTACAAGTTCCACAGGATAAGCCTGTGAAAGTGAAGTTGAGACGAGAAGAATTTGTGGTGTAAAGGAACTTACCTGGACAGAAAGTTGGAGCAAAAGCATGGCTTGACTTCTTCACAGAGCACTTCACCGAGGAACTCAATTACAAGTTCACTAACTTGGTTTCCACCGGTTGTTCAAAGTACATCAATGAAATCTTTCTTCCAAAG